ACAAAGTGCTTGACCAATTAGGGACCGTTTTCGCCCAACTAATTATATTCAATATTTTAATATAATAATACTTAAGTTTAAAGGGGTTTTCTGCAAAACAAATTTTGCTTCAAAAGAAAATTTGATGCAACTTCCTCATTAAAATGCTTTTGTCGCTATTGTTATTATTAATTAATAAAATTAATTTGTGGTTTTAACTTTATAAAATAATTTGACATACCTATTAAACAACTGTTCAAAATTTTGTCTGCAGACATTTGGGCCCGTCTTACCCAGTTTCTACGAACTACATAAATGTTGCCTTGCTTCACCATAACACAAATGTCGTCTTGCTTCACCATAAATTAATATGATATCCATCAACTCCCAGTTGTTATACACGTAAGCCATTTTTATCACTTGAAAAACTGATGTAAACACTATCGCAAGAACACCACGGGGCCACGTGGGCGAATTGTGCTAGAGACTAAAGGAGCAGTGATCCAAAATTAGTAAAAATCCACAATAATAATTACTTGTAGTAGGTCCATTTAACTTTTCTTCTAGTTCATATTCAGAAAGTACATATCGTAGTTAGTTGATGATCAAAAAATTTGATTTCTTTCAACAATTTCTCTCAAAGTAATGAAAACGGAAACCCACACATTCCATATTTGCACAGGAAGGATACATTCCTAAACCAATATCTGCAGAAATATCATTTTGCTAAAATATTGACATTTGACCCTTCTTGCAACAAACAGAGTCTTCAATTGAAATGCGTGATATAGTTATTTTTTGCGTATTTTTTACTTAGACTTTTTTTATTTCATAGGTGGAAAAATATCTATAAACAAGGAAAAAAATAAACTATACCACAAATAACTGTACTAGAAATAAGTAACTTATCAATATCTAATAGCACACAGATTCGTCGGGTTGAGTGGTGTGACGTCACAAACGATCTTCGATGGCTTGGACTGTTTCAAATGTTTTACGAATTAGAAATTGTTTACCACGGTAATATTAAAGCTACCGACCTAATTTTTTAACCACATATGTAGGGGATAAGATGCTTACGGAAAATGTAAAAACAAATGATAGTTTAAATATTGCTGAATGTTCCCAATAGTAACATTTATATTTGATGACTTTTCTTTATGTTTCAGTTAATTCTTAGGATAGCTTTTTATTATTATTTTTTTTTCGTAAACTGTTGAACAATAATGATACTTCCTGTATAATAAAGACTTTGCACATTAATCTCTCTCACCTCTGAATCCGGAACCGACATAATCGCTCCTATTATGTACACACATCCCGTTAGGAGTATTTAGAATGTCATAATAGTAATTAATTAAAAACGTTTGACATCATCTCTCGATGGGGTTATTTCCAATGATTTACCGACGGAATAAAAACCAGCGCCAAGTAACAGTACTCGGATATCGGAACATTTTAAATTGAGATTTATAGATAGCACCTGGCTGAATGCAAAACGAAATGTTCCACAATAAAGGAAGCATATTTACGACCCAGTTACCATTGTTGTTCTAACCGAGATGAATGGAATTATTGGTACAGATACAGAATTTATACGGTCATATCTAATGGTTTTTAAAATCGAGCGACGTTTGATTTGTTCCCGCGGAGTACCTCCGAGACGTTTAACGGTGGAACTTGAATTATCAGGGCGTGATTTTAATGGATTTTTTTTCGGGATCATCAACTTTTACCGACACCGTAAAACAATGTATATAATTTAATAGCAATTAAAAATTTTGGTACCGTCTTCTCAAAAAGTTTAGAGACAATCTGTGTAGCTGTCTTACGTAGAGGAAAAGGATTGAATTGTTCATTAAACGATTTTAAATATCTTTTTTTCTAGAACTCATGCACAGTAAAAAATGTGTTGAATTTTGAGTGAACTTAAGAAAGTATGTGGGAATTTGAACATATCCTCCATTTGTTGTCAACATTGGCCACTTCTAAGTAAGGGGAGCACTTTATGTACGAGGTCTGTTCAGAAAATAAACGAACTTTTTAAATTACGTGCTTCTCTGTAACCACATGTTCTTGGATTGTTGATATCCCATTTAGTTTTCGTGATATTGTTATTTGAGTGCAGTATTTGTATTAGTGACGATGTTTGAAATGTGTGATTTTCGAAGCACCGTAAAATTTTGGGTAAAACTGGGGAAAACTTTCAAGGAAACGTGTCAACATCTAAAAATAGCTTGAGATGATGCTCTGGGTCATACGCAATGTTAAGAATTATTTTCACGATTTAAAGGTGATCGTCAGTCAATTGAAGATTATTTTTGATCAGATCAGATCAGATCTGGTGCGTGCAAATCGCCGATTGACTGTTTTTCAAAATTTCAGAAGAGGTTATCCGCTGAATTGGGTCATGCCATGAAATTTTGACTGAAAAATTGATAACCGAACAGCATAAAAAAATCGAAATTAAAATCAATGCTGAAAGGATGCCGTATTCAGACTATTGATGACATCACAGCAAATTCGTCACAGACTTTTAAGGCCATCGCAAATGAAGGTATCTAGAACTGTTTCGCGAAATGGAAACCCACCCGGTAAAAGTGTTTGGATAGAGGGAAGGAGACAAGAATTAATAATGTATAAAACTAATTATAAAGCTTAGAAAACATAGTTAGGTTATTTTCTAAACAAACCTCGTACAAGCAGATACCGATGCTAAATTTGAACTTTGCTTTATCTATCTAACAAATAATTGAATGAACATTACTCAACGAATAGTGTTATTATTCAACAAAATTGATTGTGGACCAGTTTTAACAAAAAATTGTGTTGATTTATATATAAATTTTTTTACAGTGTAACATTTCAAAATATTAGGAAAGACGTCGTACCGATAGAAATTATATCTTCCCATGAAATACAAACTGTTAATAAAATGCCTTGATTACTCGCCAGATGCAACACTTTTACAATCAATAAAATATGTTTTTAGATAGGTTCAGTTCTATAAAATATTATCGCCTTTCTCTATGAAGCAAGAAAATTGCTCAATGTGAATAAGTACATACCATTATTTCAAATAATATTATTTACATAAAATATAGGTGCCTACTGTATTCTCAAATCCACATATAAAGTTCATCAGATTTTAAAAAATGATTACATATTACTTCTGCTGCTAAAATAGTAATTACGAGTAAATCACTTTCTAGAGATCCTTATGTTCTTCAAGAATGTTTATGTAAAATTCCATCGGTTTTCCTTCCTTTGTATTTTTGCCAATTTCTGAATGTTATGTTTATAATAGATATAAAGACCTACTAAGGAATTCAAATTGTTCTGATCTGAATGATATTTCTAGTTTTTTTCATTAAAGTATTTAATGATGTAGATACTTATAAAACCTTCACAGTCTTTTAGAATAAATTCGTATCAGTTGGCATTTTTCCCTAATATTTTTAAACACACCATGGTGGTCCCTATTTTTGAAAAAGGTGATGTAAATTCTTCTAATAACTATTCCGTCCTATTTCTGTCGTGCCGTTTTTTGGGAAGATATTTGGAATAATAATTAAAAAGATGTCTAACCAGTTATTTCGATTCGAATCAATTATGAGTGGCCAGTTCGGAAGCTCTTTGGACAATGGATACTCTTTCCAGAGTAACCAGTTACGTAGTTGAAGGTTTGTAAAAGATGAGCTAGTCAATCTCACTCTATGAAACCTTAGCATTTCATTGCATTTGTCACAAACTTATCGAGAAACTTTTCAGACATTACATAATTGTACTTTAGTGAAAAACAGGGGTACCTCAGAGATCTGTTTCGAGACCCCCGCGTTTTAGAATTTATATGAATGCACTTAACTTTTTTTATTACAGGCTTTTATTTAACATGCGTTGTTAGTATGGGTCAAATCTTGCAATTGAATTTTAAAACAGTTTAGTTTGGATGACAATGTATGGTTAGCGAAGTGACGTCATTCTAAATTCAATATGGCGGACGTCCAAAGATAGCGGACCAGTTATTTTTTATGCACCCACTTGATATGGGTATCAAATGAAAGGGCGGTTTGCTGAGAAGAATATGAAAATAAAATGACACGTCACTAAAAGCTTGTTTTTAAAAAAAAAATTATACATGAATTTATTCGTTAACCGATCAATATTATAAAAATGTAGGTAATTTCTTTACAATGTACCTACACCTACTGTTAGAGGAATAGAAAACAAAGCTGATGAGTGGTTTGTAAATAACAATCTTAAATCAAATTTAGATAAAACTTTACGTATATTTTTTCCACCAAAATCATGTTATTACAAATGATTCTGCAGTTAATTTGTTGAAGATCTTTTAGGAAAAAAACTATAATTTTATTCATACATTATCCGTAACTTAAAGTTCAGTTCTTTTTAAAATATAATTCTCATTATTTCACTCCCAAATGTGTTATGTTGTTACTCTCTAAGGAAGATATTTAGAATGCATGTGAATTTTTTCAAATGTAAATTTTCTGGGCCTTTGTCAGCCTCATTTAAAAAAAAAATAAAGTACTTTTTTCGTATTTTACCGGATCTTAGAGATACACAAAAACAATTAAATCTTTACAATGTATTACCTGAAAGAGTAAAAAATTTAAATTTTCGCAAATTTAAACTAAATATAAAAAGTTTTTACTTAAAAAATTGCTTATGCAGAAGTGAGTAGGTACCTGACCTGACCCTGCTATCCTAATTACTAATTTTTAACATTACTATTTTTTTATGTATTGTTTGGGTGTTTTTATTGTTTATATGAGTACCTATGTTATGTTTCACCTTTTTTAATTACATACTTCGTATATTTAATTTTTGTGTGTGTCTGACTTGCTAATAAAAAGATATTTAATAAATTATATATGTCTATCTATTAATAATATTTGACATTCATAATACAATTGCGAATGTTTGTTTATTTAAAAAAATTTAGAAAAAACTATGAAAAAATATAAAAAATTTACTCACAGTTAACACTATTTTTGCAGTGTGGTGACATCAGTGTCTGTAATAATGGATACCGGGAATGGTTCCAAGACTGTATTCACTGACGCTGTTGGAAAACCTGTTGCGAAACCATCTAGTGCCTCCGAACTGGCAAGCCCGATAGATCTGCTGAATCCAGATCGTTATGAGTTTTACACCTTTGACGACAACGGTGACCTAATAAAACGACTAATGTCTCTAGAGGAAATTCAAGGAATCATAGCCACAGGCGACAGCGACGGGTACGACCTCGATTCCTTCACCTCTCTAGGGTACTTACCTGAAAAGAGAGTGAACGATGTTGTGAACAACGTTCAGAACGTGCTTAAAGAAGAAATGGAGACACACAAAGCTCCACCAGACCCGAAACCGATTTTCGACACTCCTGACGTCTCAGACTCGTGGAGCATGATTTTGCCGGCAGTCTTCGGCAACTCTGGTGAAGATATCAAACCAGAACGACCTATAACGCATGTCACTCCTGATACTATTATGGTGGAACCCAACATGCAAAGTTCATATCCGTCAACTTCTCAGAAAAATAATGTTATAACGACTTCCTCAAGCTTTGTCACTAGCGCTAGCACTCCAAGATCCACATTGTACTCTCAGGCGCCTAGCAAGATACCCACGGTCGTATCTACATCTGCTCAAATGTCAACTACCGACAAATTGATGACGCTTGGTCCAGAACGTACAACCATTAAAATTCCTCCACTAACTCCAGCAGTAGAAGAAGAAATCAAGCCAATTATAAATGTTGAAATATATTCAAATTCTAAATCGACTACTGAGAAACCTTTTGATCAGTTAGGAATAGAAAACTCACCAGTAGTAGAAATAAAACCAAATACAACTGATGTGCCAAAAATTAGTGCCACACCCACAACCACCACGAGAAAGCCTCCTACTACTGTAAAAATAGAAGTTACTTCACAGACTACGACTCAAATGGAGGTCAAATTACCTTCGATTATAACAGAAGGTGTTACCAAACAGCCAAGTACACTCCCAGCGTTTACACCATCATCTCTTGGTTCAACCTTGCCTACAACTAAAACTCCAACAAAACAAACGACTCAACAGGTTAAAACAGAATCTACAACTTCAATTTTCGAAGTAACACAGCCTACAACAATGACCACACCTCGTATTCCAGTCTTAACCAAACATACAACGGAAGGATTATCAACGTGGAGACCTGAACCATTCAGTGCTGCTGCAACTGAAACACAAACAGTAACAGAAGAAGTACCGTTATCAACGTGGATACCAACACTTACTACTGAGAAAATACAGACTTCAGCAAACCTAGATGATTTACCAACTCTTGCGGAACTACTAAATTTAAATAAGAATTCCGAAACGAAACCATCCGAACCAATCACCACCACCATGATCCCAGAAGCGACAGAAAACGACTCGTCGACGATTGCCGTACTTAGTGATAATATTATTAAAAAAGAACCTACGACCACTGAATACCCAATATTAGAAACTAGTCAAATAATTGAAGAAAAACTGCAATCCACGGAAAGGAATGTTCCAGAGGACTTAACTACTTTGGGTTCTGATTTGTTGACCACAAAGCTAAATAAAGCTTCACTAAATGAAAGTCAATTATTGGAATCGACAACACAAATGCCTTTACAATCAACGAACGATGATCAAAAAGGTTCCGCTACAGTACTTTTGGATCAGTTACTAATCACTACAAATATTTACGAAATCAACACGGAACTAGCTGAAAAAACTACCGAACAACAAATTTTTAGTAATGATGATGAAAGATTTGAGACAAATACCCAAGAAGAATCTAAGCTATCAGAAGTAAAAACCGAACCTCCTACAACTACAGAACAATTCTTAATTAAAGTAACTGAACAAAACGATGAACCTACGGATAAAAATCTTATCAACAGTATAGAACAGCTTCTCTCGCAAGCTGTTGGAAATGTTGAAGAAGCTTTAACAGCTATCAACGATACAAAGACTATACAGGAAATGCTTGATAGTACAGGTAGTAAAAACATGTCCGATGTTCAAAAACAGAGCGCAACTTTAGCATCGAGTCTTATTGATTCGAATAATAACTCACATGAAGAGAACGAAAAAACCACAACGGAAATGAGTATGCTAGATGCCATAACATCCGGCGAATTTAATATATTAAGCGATTCTGTAGGCTCCCTTTTATCTCAAGTATATGAAAGTAATATACCTGCTGCAACTGCTAATGTAGAACTTCTATCAACAGCTGCACCTACAACGACTTCTAACGTGAAAAATGACGACGATATAGTATTAACTACATTAGCGTCAGTCAAACTGGAATCAGTTTCTGTAAACAACCAAGATGAAATTAATAACCAAGTAACATTTCTGTTGCCTGAAACTACGACAGTAACCGAAAAAGACGAAATTACTGAATCAACTACTATCACCTATGTCCCTATTAATACCATAAATAAAGATAGCGGAGGTAATTCTTCTAAAGGTAACGACTTTGTACCACATTTAATAAATATTACCATAATAAGCACTGATGATACAAAAACAAATATCAGAAATTCCAGTTATAAACCAGCCAAGTTGGATGTAAGTCTAGAAGAGTCATTAGATGAAGAATTACAGAATAACGCAACTGCTCAAAGCACTGAAATCTACATCGAGCAAATCACAACTAGTACTGATATATCGAACGAAAAAATTCCAAACGAAATATTAAAAGCCGAAGAAACGATGGCAGCTTTATATGACTCAGATCCAGATCCGACCACTACAATACAGCCAGTGACTGAAACACTAACTGATCTACCAGAGACACAAGAAACAACCGAATTATCTACTGAAGAATCTACAGTAACAGCAATTGAAACATTGGCACCAATTAAAGAAACTCCTGTAGAAAGGAGACCCACAACAGTTGTAATAATTAAAAAAACTGAAAAACCTCCAACAGAAAAATATTCAACAACAACAATTAAAACTGGTGACAGTGTAGACACAACAACCATATCAGACGAAAATTTATTAGAATCTACTACATACTCTAAATTATATACTGATATAACGGAAACGATATCACCAACAACCACTGAGCTTAATCAAGAAGATACTGAAACTGAGAGGATTACTGAAAAACTTACAGATGTAAAACCGTTCCTTGAGGTAGTTATTAGTGAAGATAATAAAAATATATCAGAGAGTACCAAGCTCCAGTACCCTATGAATCAAACCTCAAATACTGACTCGACTCAAATTGATATAACTAAAACAGAAAATAATAAAAAAGATGAAGCTAAGCCTCCGTTAATAAATAGTATTAAAATATCTACTCAGTCTTTGAAAAAAGACGATTCGGGTTATCCTAGCAAGAACCAAGAACAGAAACCTAGTGAATCAATAGCCGGAGGTAAACCCGAAGGTTCATGGACTCTTGTTCCAACAGTAGCTCCCCACAGTGGTGCTGTTATTAAAAATGAACCTTCACCTCTCGATCAATACCCTGAACTCATAGACCCACCAGAACCTGTCAACTTAGAGGCTAAACCTCTCCAAGGATTTGGATTAGAGGATAGTACATCTCGACTAGACACAGACATATACCAGTTCGCGCAGTTGTGCAATGAATTGGCATTTGGATTTTGGAAAACTGTCACAGGAGGGTTAAGCTCAGCTAGAAGTGTATTCGTATCACCTTTTGGAGCGACATCGCTTCTCGCGATGGTATTTTTGGGAGCTAGAGGTGCTACATCTGGAGAGATGAACGAGATACTGAGATTAGATGATATGGTTACATTTAATCCTCATTTGATTTTCAAAAATGTTAGCGAGTCTGTTAAAGCCGATGAGATTGATTCAGGAGTAGCTTCATCGGCAATTATTAGGGAACTGTTCAGTGACAGAAGTAAGGGAAAACTTTTACCATTTTACAAAGAAAGGGCCAAAGCGTTTTATGACGGATATGTAGAAGAAGTGAGCTTTAGAGAAATCGGGGACGTCATTAGAAGGCGAACCAATCTCCAAGTTAAAAAATACACGAACGGGAAGACTAGTGAATATCTGAAGGATAGTTCTATCAACGCACGGTCACCCTTAGCCGGCGTTAGCGTAAATATATTCCAGGTAACATTTTAAATCACAAATATTTAGTAAATTGTTTTACTTTTCTCTTATATTTTACAGACAGATTGCTCTCAAGCATCAACAGAAGGGCGTGATGGTGAATTGCACTTTGTGGTTCTACCATCTATAAGACAAAGAAGGCTGATTCCCGTCCCTGCGGTGGTGTATAAATCCGGATTTCTAGCAGGCTATGAACCCAGTTTGGACGCTACCGCGATATCTCTTGGCACCAAGGATCAGACGGTCAGCACTATTCTAGTAATACCTGGCCAGCAAGGCATCTCTGCGCCAGGAGACGGCCTGTCGAGGTTGGAAAAGAGACTCGTGGAAAGCTCTTTTAAGAAAGGTTACTAAATACTGTTCTCTAACTTAAAATGTGTGAATGAATTTTATTTTTTGTGGGTCAAAAAGCAATTTGACCTGAAAATGTTGTGGTAATTATACGGCAGGTCTATAAACCGACACATAAATTAAATAAAAAAGTCATTTTTGTATGGAAAACGCTTCAATTGACGCTGTAATTATTTAGTGGGCCTCAAATATTAAATGACAAATTGTTGCAAATAAATGGCAGGTAAGCTATTTTTATAAAGTTTCTGTTCTAAACCCAACAATTCCGAATCAGTCTGTAAAGAAATGGGCAATGAAAAATTAAAATTAACATCTACAAAATCTTTTCTTAAAGAAAATTACCTGACTGTTTATCGAATTTGCACGTCTCTACGAACGCACTGTATACAGGGTGGTCCGAATTTTATGCAGGAAACTTCGAGACAAGATAAAAAGATCTTTAAAATAATATGTGTTTGCCTTATAAACATTGGTCTGGAACAGAACCGTTTTAGAGATACAGGGTTAAAAAAAATTGATTTTTTGTTTGTATCTCCGGAATCTATTAACCAATTTCAATAAAATTTGGTACAAGCAACAGCAACTAAACAAGAAACAAAATTAATGTTACGTATTTACAACAATTATTCAAAATGCGAACCACCCACATCGATACATTTCTGACATCTTTTATTAATGGAATTAATTTAAGCAAAGATCATGTGGTTGTTTTCATTTAATTCATTACCTACATCCGTCTTCTATTCGTTGCAGTAGTTGTAGTCTTGTATCTGTTGGACTAGAATAAACTTTACTTTTCAGATAACCCCAAACATAGGAGTCCAGGGTGTTTAGATATGGCAATCTGCCTCGCCAAGACACTGGACCCTCTGCACCACTCTGGTTGACCTTGGCATTTGGTCTTCTACCTATCCATCGCCCCATATAATTTTTATTAAGCTATTCTTATATTATTCTCCCAGAATGCGCGGGAGCACCATCCATTGTATCCAGCTATTTTGTCGCATATTTAATGGAACATCCTCTAATAATTCAAATAGATGGTTTTCTAGAAAGTTTGGAAATGACTGGGAATTTAGACGGGGTGGCAAGAAGAAAGGTCCACAAACTTTATTGGGAATTATTCCGAGCCACACGTTTACAGAAAATTCGTTTTGAAAAGATCTTGTCCGAATTTTATAAGGATTTTCTTGTTACCAAATATGCAGATTCACTACCCCTCGCCTTTGGTAAAATAATAAATGTATTATTATTATTATTTTGATTTAAGTTGTTCTTATTTGTAAAGATAGTGAGTTAGGCTTCCAAGAGAAACTAAAACGCGTAAGGAACTCTACCTCACAGATGATGTGGAAACGAGTGTAAAGAATATTTTGGTTAGAAATTTCTGCACAAGGAGATTGTATTAGTATGAATAACTTGAAAATAGCGAATCTTAGGGGGGAAATTCAAGTTACCTTTTTTACGTATTTTGTGCATCAGAATATAAATCCTTTGCAATAACTTGTAAAAAATGCAGTGGCGTAGTTTTTTTTGTAAAAAAAAGGGGTGACAACTGTCAGCCTGTACACCGCTGGTTGAACCTTTAAAGCTTATATTTGAGGGAATGTAAGGCCTACTATCATGCATTATCTGTACCAAATTTTATTAATATCGGTTAAAAGATTCCGGAGATATAAACAAAAAGTCATTTTTTTAACAACTTCAACACCCTGTATCTCTAAAACGGGGCTGTTCCAATGTTTATAAGGCAAACACATAATATTTTAAAGAGATCTATCTGCCCTCGAAGTTTCCTGCATATAATTCGGACCACCCTATATATTGATGTCTGAAATAACCAGAAAATAATAGGAGGCAAAATTGACACCCCTAGTACCCAGTATTTTACTATTTGTCGGTAACAAATTCTTTGGCGTGCGTATGCTCTTGTAGCAATATCAAAAGCAAAAGTTTATGCAAGCTTTAAGTTTTTGTAATTAAAAGAAAATATTCATATTTTGTATCTCGAATACAAAGTTTATGCCAATTTATCTCTGTATAAACTTTTGTTTATAAACATATATCTGTGATTTTGAAATTTGCAATAAAATTCTATGTTTTAGTTAGATAATAATTTTCTAAAGTGGTGTCTTTTAGGAGCTTGGTCGAGACTATTGAGATCCCTTATCCCAAGGCCTGGATTGGAAGTTCAAATCCCCAGATTTTCCCATAGATCAGTTATTAACGCCACCGTAGCTCTAAAGAAAATGGGCCTGCACGATCTCTTCGACGTGGACAAGGCTGATCTCCGCGGCTTGAATGGCGTCGCCAACGAGCTTTTCTTATCGGATATGCTGCAGATAAACAGCTTCGCTACTTGCGGGGAGAAGAGAATTGGCGAATCCCACCACTCTGAAATTTACCCTGCTACTGCCTTGAGATCCCGAAATTCTAGGTAAGAAGCTAACGTTTAAAAATAATAATTCTGCAGGCTATGAAAAGAGTAAAGAGTTCCTAGAAACCAACATCATTTTTTTTTCAATATCATATTGAATGGATGCTAAAATAAGAAAGCATTTGTTTATAACATATAGACGCAAAATTAAACAAAAGTCGAATTAACATTTTCTCGGAATTCGCTGCAAAAAAATTATTTTTTCAGATTTTAAAAGTTTTCAAAAATAAAAAATTGCTGCAGATTTCCAAAATGTCGATTTTTTTATATGCTGTATGGCCCCTAAATAACCCCAGAACACCCCTCTAAAATTTTTTTGGCACGCCTGATTCGATAGATTTCTTTTATTCTTATCAGGGGTAACACTTAGAACTTAAAAAACCGTCGCCGTGTATAACCAGTAAAACATTGTATGGCAATTACTGGTGATGTTAGCGAATCAGTTTCATTTCTATTTCTTTGTTACCATGTGCTTTTTGACGTTTATGTTTTGAAGACCTTATTACTGTTTTTGTTTTGTTTTTGATATATTTTTAGTTTATCTTTCGATATACATACAATGTTTTTATCTCTGGGAAGTTTTTTTTCTGTGGAAAAGTCCACTTTGATTTTTGGTTAAACGCCTCTTTTGATAGAAAAGATCCACAATCCACATGGCATTGTATAAGCATGTATGAAGTATGCTATTCGCGATCGTTGCGCCACCACCGTTAATATAAACATTGCCAATTTATTCTACATAAATGTAAATAATAATTTGTATATATTAAAATTATATTTTTGAAATTAAATATTTTTTTGTGCACTACGCGTATTATTAACAATGTCCAACTATAAATTTACCTTGAAAAAATAAATGGTGCCCGCCGCGCGACCGGCATTCTAGAAATGTGCTATTAGGCGCAAAAAGGTTGAGGACCCCTGCTCTAGGTGAGTAAGCTGAAATAATCCATTGCCTACTGCGACTTTTTTTTGAGTTTTATTTAGAAAAATCACTAGGGATTTTTTTAATAAAAATTTTGTTACGTAGGTTAGCAAATTTTCAAATTCCATCAATTTATAATACAGAACCTAATTACAGATTACATAATATTAGTGATGATTGTTACTGCTGGTTGTAATTGGTAAATGCGAGTAAGAATGTATATTTTTGTTATTTTCACAATTTTAGGTAAAATCCAACATTTTCCAAGTTTTAAGCCCATCAGCAGACTAGTGTTTGCCAATTGTAATCAGCAGTCAGCGCAACTGGTTTTCAAATGGCTTGTTCCATGTTGCATTTGTCGATATTTGTTTCTCTGTAGAAATAATAAATTTCTCTTAAACAGTACTAAATTAACTTATTTTTTTAATGCTTTCATAACTCTTCAAATCAGTTGAAGAAATAGATAACAGCTATTGGTTTGGAGTTATTTGTCTCACCCTGTACTTTGTGACTCAAATCCTACTTACCTTTCATTTTGGTACCCAAAAAATATCTCTCAGAGTATATAATATTTATTAACGATACCTACATCTTTCATATTTTTCAGGTATTTGGAACACTTTGAAAGTGAAGAGAGCTTCTGGAGAAGCGACCTTCTGGAGGAACCCAGGGACTACCAGAGAGCCTTCCACGATCCTCTTCATGATCCCAGTTTTCTGTCTTTACCTCTACCGTTGCGTCCAAGACAAGCGCGTGTTCCAGACTCGCCAAGATTGAGATTTGATAGACCTTTCATTTACTTTATTCGACACAATCCAACAGGTCTTATTTTACACATGGGAAGGTTCAACCCTAGACTGCTGCCATAAGAACGTGAATTTTAAATTTTACGCCCATCGTGCGTGAATTAAGGAATTGCTTAGAAAGCTTTTAATAATCTAGGACTTCATCGTGAACTTTCCGGTTGGTTGCTCTGTTGATATTGTTATGGTATTTGAAATTTTTGTGATAGAGGGGGAAATGAAATATGTTATCTAAAACAAGACTTTCTAATTTAGGCCTTGTAATTTTTGTAAATAGTTTTAGAGGTATAAATACTCAATTTTGAAATGTAACTATAAACTTTGTAAGTGTAATTTGTATTTCAAACATATTTTAAACTTACCCAGAATGTAAAAAGTAATTATAATTATAGTTACATGTCGAATATTGTCTCTCATTCAGTTTATTTATTGTTTTGTGGCATTAGGTATTGTCAATTTTCATTTCATTCGCAATAAGTAACGCAAATCATCATTAATTTTAAGTGTATCATGTATATTAACTACACTTATTTTATTTAAAATGTACCACATTGCACATCTTAGTACAAAAGCTTAAAGCCATGTCAGTTATGTTAACTAAAATTCTGTTCCTATATTGTACTCAAAACTAACTGATATTAGGTAATACAGTATTAATTTGTGCAATTATGTTTTATTAAATTATTGTCTTCATTAGTTATGTGCAATTTTTTATATTTACATAATATATATTAAAATTAATACCTGATTCATTTCTTATTCGTTCCTAGACTCTGCAATTTTTAACAAACAGAGTGTTCCTTAATTAAGGAACCAAATTTAAAATTTGGGTGAGTTAAAATATAAGAAAAATTCTGTAAAAAAATACGAAAACACTTAATTTTCTGGACATAGGTTGTGGAAATTTGAAAAGATATCCACATTTTCTAAAGTATTTCTATCAGTGTTCGATGTAAAATGGTAAAAATGATTAAAAGTAAAAATCGGCTGAATTAAGATATTTAATGATATATTTCAACAAATCCTTTAAAATGAATACTTATAGTTGTCAATAATTATTTTTATTTCTTAAATACGATCAAAGATAACATTTCATGTGAAGTTACTTTAAAATTTTTGAAATAATGGACAATACACCAAATTTTTCTATGCAGAACAGGGTGGGTGAGGGAACAATACGCCGCTGTGCCGCTAGGAATAACAAATAAAACCGGAATCGGCAATAATCTAACGACAGCAGTAGTATCCAATTACGTCGCAGCGTATCAGATATATGTCTTTTGTTCTTTCTTTAGTATGTCGAAATTAAGTACTAACAAACAAATGTTTGTATGGATTACATCTCGTAGTAGAAACAATTCGTCGGTATTACCCAAATGTAGAAAAATTAATAGCACAGACCAAGGCAGTGTTTCTCAAATCCCCGAAACGTACTTGTCAATTCCACCAACAGTGTCCTGGCATTCCAGAATCTCCACAACCTCATTCCTACACGATGGGGGACATGGTTAGAGGCATCATTTCATTATTTTAAACATTTTCATAAAATAAAATCCGTAATTTTACAATTCGATGCCAAAGAATCCGCTGCTATTCGGAAGAGCTAAATAAAATTTCGAGACAGTCGAGTTGAAACACAGTTGGACAATTTTACAACAATTACATTCCAATTGCAGATGCTATAAAAAAAACTTACAAAATACTGCATTATCTTTAGATGAATCACTACAAATAGTAGATATACAAACAGTGCTATATGCTTTAAGTGACGAGAAAAGTGTCTACGTCAGAGAAAGTTTGACAATGTGTGACAAGAAAAAAATCCAGATTTCTCCAGATTAAGATACCTTCATAGCAATGGCTCTCCCATGGATTCATTAACTGCTTTTAGAAATTACTTCAAATATACACCTATAACGTCACTAGATGTCGAACAATCGTTTTCGTTATATAAGAATATTTTTTCTCCGTTGCGGACATCGCTTAAAGAATCTACTGTGGAGACATATATAATGTTCCAGATATTTGCCAGAGCTTATCCAGATTTTTAATATGGAACCGGGTAAGCACTCCACAATATTATAAAATTATTTATTATAAACGCAATAGGTAATCTTCGCGCAGACGCCCCTGCTTTTAAACTGAAATATTGTGCCTTAGTAATATCTTAAATGTCATTAATGTTACTCAGTGCCTACTTGCTTAAAGCATTACTTTGTACATGCTGACAAAGAGTGACCTACTAATCAGAAGATATTCCGAAATCATCAAATCATGACTTATTTCACTAAACCGAGTATTTTAACTAATAATATGTGTAAACAACTACTCTGGGAACTACACGCTCCTTTTATGGGCGTAGCTACAATTTTTGCTTGGGGTGGATTTGGAGACGTTTCGATTTGATTCTAAAAAAGGTCATCGACTTACCGATATGATAAAGATAATAATATTAGTTCTTTTTTTTTCTGGGGTGGGCACCGGGCTTCCTGCCCCTCCTAACTACGCCCATGGCCCCTTTCCGCACCAAATTACTGGGAGTTACCATCACCCCAGAAATTCTGTCACTGAGTATTTCAGCAAAGTAATCACTATTTATAACTTCTAGCAGTGTTTCTAACAAAAAAATATCTTCCATTTTATTCAAAAAGCAAACCATTTTTAGTTTAAATTTAAGATCTCTACAGTTGTTATCAATGCCAAAAAATAAATTGGATTACAATTATTCTATTTTTATTTCAAGAACTAATTACACGTAATTAAAGTAATAGATCAATAATACGCTACACAATGAAAAAAAATATGATAATTCCCATATAAAAGCACAATTAATATTTAAGTAGATACTTCATTTCTTCTTTTCGTCAGGTTTGTCTTCCTTTTTCTTATCCTTAAGGCTGCCCACGGCTTGACGGATAGCTTCTGACTGAGGATCCACTCCAGGCAGGTTTTCGAGTACGCTCTGTAGAAACGCGGGATCATTCATGACTTCAGAATAATCATCGTCTCCTTCAACTTCCATCGGTTCTTCTTTACTTGCCGCTGCACTTTCCGATGACTCTTCTAGAAATTGTATGATATTTTTACACATTACCGATAAAAAAACTTCGTAAACTTAAGAATTTTACGAAACTTTGGAAAATACAATTAACGTAACTAACAAATTTTCATTCCAACATTTTTTCAATATTTTCGTAACTATGAAATTCCCTGATAATCCTTGATTTTTCGAGTTTTTCATATTACTACACACCCTGCATGAAAGTTACTTACGTGCATCCTGCATGGACATCTGCATGGCAAAAGCAATTTGTTCATCCTCGGTCATGTTAGCGAAATCGACGGGTGGTCTATTGGCCGTTGCTGTCTGTTCATTGCCCTCTTCCATGGACATGAGAAGAGCACGTTCCAGCATAGCCTCTTCACTGGGTTCCTCCTTAATCGTTTCTGTTTTAACGCCAGTCTCTGCATTCGAAGCTTCTTTAGCTCTGCGAGCCTCATCTTCTTGGCGCTGACGTTGCTCTTCCATAGAAACACGAAGGGCCTGAAAAAAGATTAACATATTTAGCCTTCTAAGACTAATTTGGCAATTATTATTAAAACATACCAAAGCAAGTTCAGGATCCTCGTTAGGATCCACTCCAAACTCAAATCCAGAACCCCCAAGACCTGCAGCTCCGGTACCGTCTTCACCTTGGATGACTGGAGATGAGATCAGTGCATCGGAGAGATGGGGACCTGGCGGAACCGTCACCAAATGACTACTTGTACCATCCTATAAGTTAATTGAAATTAGGATAATAAATTTTCTTTGAAAATACTTCACCTTTGAAATTACCTTTCCGTTCAAGGTGTTCACAAATGTGGTCAAAACTTCAGAATTTATGCCATCTTCCCCAAAACTGATTATATCGACATTAACTTTTTCTTTTTTTAATTTCTTGGCCAGTTTAACTAGTTCCTTTTCTTCGCTGGCTACTGGACTTCCAACGAAAACAACAATTCTCATTTTATGGTTTTTGCCTTGCCTATGCTTCAAAGCCAACTGGAAATGAAAAAAATTTAGACAGAATTAAAAAATTCATAGATAAATCATACATGAGCAATTCTAATCCCAGTATGAAGATTTATTTCACCATCTGGTTGAACTTGATGCAATTTTGATAGGATTCTTCCTACATCGCTTGTGAGAGTTGCTAAAACTTCGACTCTAAAAATTAAATTAATATATTATCAAATAATTTAATGATCATAATTAGATTTATATGCATTTTGACCTAAATTTCTCTATCACATGAATAATGGAAAAAATGTATTAATATTTCTAAGACAATATACTTACTTTGCTAATGTCAATAACCCTACATTGTTTTCTGGATTAGACCTTGTTTTTGAATGACAAACCAAATTTACTGCATCTTGTTGAGCCTGTAGTCTTGTAGGTAGAAAATCACCATTTCGCATATAATCACTGTTATCCACGCTATAAAAGAATATGAATTATAAGATATACAATACTTGTCTAGTCATCAATGAATTTAAGGTTATGTTAAATCGATAAAACAAACTATTAAGTATTATTATTACTGATATAAGGTATTATTACTAAAATTAGGTTACTTACCATATCATAGTACTTTCGAGTACCATTTTCAAATTGAATCAATTTAATTTCAAAGATAAATAGCACAAAAATCACTGTTCTCAATTTTATGACAAAACTGATGACAAATGACAATTATTTTAAACTATACTATAAGCTAAAGACGGGAATAGACAGAAAGTCGATTAGTCTAGAAAGTCGAAAACCGAATTCCATTTCCATCGAATTTTCACCAGATAAATAAATCATTCAACTAGGCCCTATTATTTGCTTCTGACAATAAATATAAGACTATTAGTTAGATTATAAAAGTGCGCACCGTCATGTTAAACTAAAGAAATTAATAGAATACGTGTTTATTAATTTATTGAATTAATTATATCTGTAGGAAACAATAAAAAAATACTTATAAATACAGAAACAAGTTAATGTTCTATTTTCGAAAAATGATTGGTTATCTTCAGACTTTTGTCTTTGTCTAAAAATAGTGATTTGTAAAAAAATTGTTTCTAATAAATGATAATTATTATTTTTGAAATATTCTAGTACTGCCAGTGCCATCTCTTAGCAATTTCGTAATACTAATATTAAATAAAGGCAAAGCAAAGCAAATGTGAAATGTGATGAATGAATAAACGTCAGCTGCGATAGTCGTCAACATCAACATTAGATATTAGACAACATGTTTTAATAAACTTTTCATGAAAACTAAAATTATAAATTCATTCTTACATGTTAAACGGAAGTAGATTTCAAATTACGCAACTGGATGACGCTACTTTCAATAACATCGTAATTTTACAGGATAAATTTGGATTTTCCAAAATTATAGGAGCTCGAAAACTATGAGGACTTAAACAAAGACGCAGAAAGTATTTGTTTTCTAAAAGATGGCTGATAAATTTTGCGGCAAATTAAAATTAAACCACAAAATTGTAATAAGATACAGTGACCGTGAGCTATTTTACCTTATTAAAAAAATTTAAACATTTAATATCTGATTATGGTAAGTGGACACATTGTTTAAATTTTTTGCAAATGAAATATTTTTATCATATACATGATGTAATAATATATAGTATGATGTAAATTTTTATTTTGTTCTTTAAGGAAGGTAAAATAGAAAAAACTGGTGGGGGCAATGGACCCAATTTGACCTCCGGTGAGTCTTCTGATGGCGAAGAACAAGATGAACCTTCTTCGACCAATCAAGTATTTATTTATGCATAATATTTATATATTTTTTTTAATTGATAACTATTTAGGAGCAAGCTATTGAAGATACACTAGCTAATTTCAGAGAAAAGTGGCAAAAGGAAATACGTGATTCACCAAATCATCAAATTAAACCTAAAACCAGAATCTCCAAAGAAACTGATCAGGTAGATGATGGTGAACACAATGCAAGGATTTTATTTTTAAAGGGAATTGAAATGGAAAAATCGGGAAAATTTTATGAAGCAATCCAGTTTTACCGACGTGCTGTTCAGATTGTCCCTGACATTGAATTTAAATTGGAAAGGATGTCGAAACCAAAATTAAAGGATAGACAAGCAACTGAAGATAAAGAAAAGGGTAAGTTAAAGATGTCAAAAAAGAGGCACAGAATTTTTAAATATTGTTTCAGGGGACATATTTACAGAAACTATTGAAGAAAAACATGAGAGTAGTGATGAGAATTCAGAAGATGAAGAAATATTAGAAGGTGAACTTTTACCAAGAATTCAGAAAAAACTGGCAAAGGGTTATCCATTGTGTGTTCCAAAATTTGAACAAAAGGTGAAAACTTGTTTATTTAAATTTTGGAAGACAGTATTTATATTTGTTTTGTTGCAGACCACACATATTTCTGAATTACCGGTGGAGATCATATTTTACATCCTGCGGTGGCTCGTTTCTGCAGATTTAGACCTCAAAGGATTAGAAGTTTTTTCTGCGGTATGCCGGGGGTTTTACTTGTGTGCCAGAGATCCTGAAATTTGGAGATTAGCTTGTCTACGGTAATATTTTCAGCACAACACACAACTGTATCAGAGCTGTCATTTTCGTTCCAGTGTTTGGGGCTTAAATTGCGGTCCTTCTCCAGACACTTACCAGTCTTGGAGGGAAATGTACATTGAGAGGCCAAGAGTCCACTTCAATGGCTGTTACATTAGTAAAACCACCTACATTCGACCCGGTGAAAACAGTTTCCAAGATCAGTTCTACCGGCCATGGCATTTGATTGCTTATTATCGTTATTTGAGGTGAGAGTAATTTGGAGCGAAGTATTTTTATTAATTATTATTTATATATTTTTTTAGATTTTTCCCTGAAGGCGTAGTTCTCATGTTAACTACTGCCGATGAACCTGCCCAGTGTGTTGGATTGATGAAGAGTAGAAATTCACGCAGCCCTGTTTTGTCAGGCTACTACAGACTAAAAAATGACAAAGTCGTTATAGTTGTGCAAAAGCAAGATGCTAAGACTGTTGCGCAAGTGACGCAAGGATATAAGAGACATTCTAGAAAGAAAGATGCTCAAGAAAATGCAGAACAGACATTTCATTTGGTAAGTACTAAATTTCGAGATAACATTTTAAAGATTCAAGAATTTGATAAAATTTAAAAACTGATTTTTCATTAGCGTAATCTGATATAATCTTACATTTGACATTATCATATAGTCACACTTATTGTAACATAATTTTTATAGCTTGTCGGGGAAAACCAAACGCAGTTTGCTCTGGGTTTATTGAAAAATTCTTGGAAGCTCCTTAAGCGATTTCAAACATAATCTAGCAACCAAGGTTACATAAATAACCTCATAATAAAACATAATACTAGGACTGTGAATTAATTTTGAGGGATTTTTTTTTGAAAATTTCTTCATTGTGCAAAATCTTGTACAATTATTATTTTTCAAAGTATTGTCCATCGCTAGCCACTTTTTCCCATCTTTGTGGCTGCATACGGATTCTGCGTCAAAAGAACAACTCATCTTTTGATGCTATCCACTAATCAATTAGATTTTTCATATTGGAAGCGCTACTTAGCCAGGTTGTGTTCCATGGATCGTAACAAGTAGTAATCCGATGAAGCAATATCTCGTGAATATAGCGGGTAGGGTAAAACGACCCATTTCAGTATTTCTAAATATTTTTTGTCTTCATGAGCAACATGTGGCCGAGCATTGTCGTGTTGAAAAATTATTTTATTGTGCATTTGCTCGAATTGCGGCCAGTTTTCCTTCAATCATTTTTCATCAATTGTGTTCAGTAGCATTCACTAGTGATGGTTTCAGTTGGTTGAAGCAGCTCATAGTGCACAACACCAAGCATGAGCTTCGAACCATGAATGTTTAGCCTTGCCGTTGATGTTGACCAGGTAAACCTCATAATTTTCTATGCTTAGGATCATCATAGCATGTCCATTTTTCATCGCCAATTAAAAATCGCCATTCAGCACCTCTTGGCTTCAGTTTGTATGGCATCAAATTTCCTTGCTTTTGAATCATACCGAGTGCATTTACATGTTTGGAAACTGTTGTTCAATCAACATTCAACGTTTCAGCAAGTTCATCTTGAGGTTGACATGAATCTTTGTTGAGTAATGCTTCCAATTCCTCATCTTCAAAATTTTTTGGCTGCACAGGGGGTCAACTGTATCAAAATCACCACTTCTAAAACGTCGAAACCACGTTTTTATCGATAGAGTATGTTCACCGTAAATTTCCAACAGCACTCAATGACTCAGCAACACTTTTCTTTGAATTAAACACAAAAAAATAAAACTTCCCGCAACTGGTGTTTTGTGGGCTCATAATTCGGCATCTTTGGAGCTGAGAAAAAAATATATTGTTTACACTTTAGCAAAACGGCACATAGTAAATAGTAAAGCCTAATGGTAGGGCTTTGACATGAATATAGTTACAGAAGTGCCCGATGCGATATAACATATGTTATGCCAACTATCGTAAAAGCCTCCAAATGAATACACAGTCCTAGTACAATACCAAGTAATGAATTATTGTTCATAACGAGATTATAGGTTTTGCTCTCCAGATTCATCTTTTTGCAAATCAAATTCACATAGTTGATATTTTACAAAGAGGTTTACTTGAACCAAGGGTATTGCCAGTCAATGGACTAGGGGGGGGGGCAAGATAAGGGAGAGGATGGGAGAAATATAAATTATAGGTAGAAATAGATAGGTACAGTAAATTAATTTTTTTTAGAAATATTTTATTAAAACCTTAAAATTTTATATTTTATTCTGATTCCAATAGATGAAAATTTAATTTAAAATCCCAGAGCTAAATTTTTAAAATATGAAAATGTATTACTTTTTTACATAAAATTCTATATTTTTAAATTCTTTTGTCAAGAAATATTTATACTAATTTATTAAAATTATTGTTTTTTAAAAATAATAAAGTAGTGTATATATTTTCAAAATTAAAGTTTAAGTAAATAAAATATTTTATTAAAAATTTCCAATCTAATATTTTTTTAGCTTAAGAAAATTACTTTTTTCGAATTTCTGCCCTCGCTTAGCGACGCCCTTTACTTGAACCAGTCACCTCTCACACTGTCTCAACTTTTATTATACTGCCAATAACGAGAGATATAGATTTTGCACTCCAAATTTTACCTTTCTCCAAATGAAATTAATTTGTCTTAAATCAAATTGCTCTACAAATTTAACGCTTTTAAATTGGTGAGGACTTCTTCAGGTACCTAAATCCGTTTGACCTAATTATTAAAAAAAAAGTGTATAGGTACTGAATTGCAATGTTAGGGTTTATTAGGACCTAAAACTTCAAAAAAAATTTTATATTAAGCCATCTAGAAAATAATATAGGATACACAATGAAACGCAAGGAATATTTCCTTCTAATACCACAAGTCCTAATAATTAAAAAAATCCAAAGTTAACCTACATATACACCCATATAAGAAAGTTTTGCTCTACAGTATTTTGATTTCATTAACAAACTGGAAAAACTTGATTCAATATATGTTATACAATCAGTGTTATAAACTTAAATCGAGATACCTACAATGATGTTGAAAAACCTCAAAGTAATTATAAACATTAAAAATACTACGCATTACAACCTCTTATCTTAGCACAAATAATGATCGCCTATTAGAACGATAAGTGAAGCGAGTACCTACTTTATTCCAATTAGACCCTTATGGGTATTTACCTAACAACAAAATGATGTCATTTAGAACCTTGGTACTTATTATGTAAAATATCTTGATATTACGTTGATAGAATTACCTAAATTTGTTTAATTAAGTATTGCTGGATTGTTAAAATATCACATTGTGTTGGCCGGCTAATGCTAGGAGACTATAGAAACAATTTATTTTTTCTTCTAGCAAAAAAATGGCTTTAGCCAAAGCAACACAAAATATATATACAGTGAAAATCGGTTATAATGACCTACAAGGACCCGTTTGTTCACAGTTGTTATAACCGATAGACATAATAAGCATTACATACATATTTTATATAAAATTTTTATTGAAAAAATGAGAAAGTTAGAATGCAAGTCTTTAAGTATATACAGGCTGTCTCCTAAAAAACGCCGCATGCCATAACTCCGTTATTTAAAAAACAAAAATTAAATGAAATGGCTTTAAATACACTATAGAGTGAGTCTATTAGAGCTTATTTACTATTCTTTTTTTTTGAAAAGCGATAGTCAACTTTTTTTTTCAAATGGCAATATAGTTTTTTTGTTATTTATTATTGTGCAGATTTATTTTCGGAATTCAACGATGTATATGAACTTGACTTTTGTAAAGCATTTATTACAGAAAAGAGAACAAAATATTAGTCGATACCGCATTTGGCGCCCGACCACTAATTCATGACAAATGTATTTTAACTAATTCTTCTGTGCCATGGAAAACAAAAATAATACATCGAAGCAAATAAAACTCAAAAAAGAATTTTGTAGTTAATAGAAAAGAAACAATACAATGAATATCAATTAGAAGAAAAACAATTTAATTAAATAACATTAATTAAACACAAAACACATTAAACGAAGAACAACAAACACAAAACAACTAAAGAAACAAATTGTAGCCGTCGTTCTCTATCGCTTTCCTCTACTGCCTATACTTTTTGAGCAATGTATGGCTTGAATTTGTGCTTTTTCAATACTGTATGTACAGTTCTCTTTGGTGCTCTAATATTATTAGAAATTTCCCTAATTGATGTTCTTGGGTTTTCTTCAACGATAACAAAAACATTGAACTCGATGTTTTCATTAAATTGGCATTCTTCTTGCTTTGGTTTCTTAAAAGCACCATAGTTTCTCAAATTTTCTTCAAATCTTACAAATGTACGTGTTTCTGGAACTTTTCTGTTGAGCTTATTTCAATAAATAACCTACTGTAAATGACACAGAAAGAGTATAATGCGTAAGAAACTGGGACAAGAATGCTAAAATAACATTTACTTGCTTTGTTGTATTATTTTTTGTTTTCCAGGCATACATGATTAGTTAAACTATGTTTGTTGTCAATTAAGCGACCGGATGCTAATAATGATGTGGTATTGACTAATATTTTCATGCGTTTTCTGTAATACATGTTTCACAAAAGTAAACTTTATATAGATCGTTGAATTCAGAATAGAAATCTGCATAATAATAATTTAAAAAACCTATATAGCCATTTGAAAAAAAAAAAGTTGATTATCGCTTTTCAAAAACAAATAATAAATACGCTCCAATAGGCTTACTCTGTACTCTATAGTGTATTTAGTGCCATTTCACATAAGTTTTTATTTTTTAAAATCAGGCTACTATAAATGACGTAGTTATGGCTTGCTGCGTTTTTTAGGAGACAGCCTGTTTATGTACTACTTTGTTTTCAGAAGATCTTGCTTGTTCAGTTTCAGTGAATTGTTTTCGAATAGACTTTATTTTATTTGATCTTTCCAAATTGTTGAAATCATAGTGTGACACGTCACATTTTTTTGCTATGCTTGCATTAGTTTCTGCGTTTTGTAGTCTCCATATTATATGTAATTTTTCTTCTTTATTAAATATTGTTCTTTTCGACATCGTGATAGAAAGTGGTAATTAATGCATATAATATAATTGTATGCGTAGATAAGTAGAAATTTGTCCCAAATGTGATGTCAAAAGCGTGATTGCGGACGGGGCAGGCGAAGAGCAGAGCATTGGTTTCTAAGCCATATATCACCATTGGTCATTATAACTGATAGATTCTATGGTAAATGTATATAAAAACGCGTCGCTAAATCCGAAATGGTAACGGTGTTGTAGTAAATGATATTTTTAATATGGTATTTCTATAGGTTATAATCGGGACTTCCAAGTTCAGGTCGTATAAAGCAATGCCGTTATAACCAATTTTCACTGTATTTTAAATTTGGTGGGTCACAAATAAATTTATGAAATTACAATCTTGCAACTACCCCCTCTTGCTCTTCTCTAGCTGTGCCCATGCTGGTGCCTTGGTAAGCTCAAATAAAATAATAACTTTATACGAATATCCAAATATTTTCCTATGAAAAAAGATATAGTAAACAATAACAAGTATACTTACATATGATACAAATTTACATTTGATATGATTTGCAAAATGTCGAATTTGATTTATGAAAGGATGAATTTAATTCGAAAAAGATTCTATTTGATTTGGAAAAAGTTGAATTTAGAGTGTAAAATGCAAAACAAACAATGGACAACTCTGAAAAAAATTGTATGCACAAATAATATTTGTTAACAATTTTTTAGGAGTTGCAGATAAAAGGCCACCGCAAAAAGATGCATGTACAGCTGGTGTGGACCCACTACTCCGTTTTTACGAAATACAAAAGAGGTGATGAAAGTACCTGTAACTTTGACCTTATAGCTAACCGATTTCCTCCTCTCTGGTTTTCTCGCGTGAAGAGTTTCACTGCAGAGTCTGACGCTCCTTTAATATAGTTCATATTTTTGTAAGTGTTTACATGTTGCACATTGAGTGTTCCCAGTTCTTTATGGCTATAATTTCCTAGCGATAAGTTTTTATTCTTAAGTGAAGTGGATGAACTTTTAAGTTACTGTTTACTTTTGACGGTGTAATTTTTATAGTGGGTTTGAGACTCTTAATAAATTATATATATTTTTGGAACAAGTTAATAGTCAATATTAATATAAATTTGTTGGCGATTGTGTTTGTTTATAATTATCTACACGAATTATATAAAATGATAATAAACGTTTTGTTTTGTTTTGAGTGCCTTTTATTTCCAAAAACCATATAATTTTTTTGTATGAATCTTCAAATGAAGCAATTTCGAATTCTTTATCCAAAAAAGTTGTGACACAAATTAATCTTTGCATGTGCATTAATTTTTAATGGTAAGCAGAATACATCAATAATAACCATTTTCAATAATCAAAATCGTTGAAAATAACATAATAATAATTTAAAATGAATAATAATTTAAATTATTAAAACTTATTGAGAATCTCTGGAATCGTCCTTGACTTACATACTACATAAAAAAAGGGAAATAGTTGTAACAAAAAAATTATTAGTTCAATTTTAGGGAATCATCGGACCTACTTTAATTATCATTAACGAAACTTGTTGTTTACTGTTTAAGTTTCAAGCAAATTTAATAAAAAAATGTTTAAGGGGCTACACCACTGTAACGTCCTAAAAAAGCGTTTTTGACAATTTTTTTTTAATAGAAGAAAAAGTAATAGAAAAAAACTGTTTAAGTATATTATTAGCATGCATTTAAATGTACAGAAAAATGTTTTCATTAAAAAATATTTCAAAATGGAGCCATTCTCCTGAAGCATGATGCCTTCGAGACTTTCCACGGCACGCACTAGAACTAGTGCAAATTTCAAGATGGAACAAAAATAAAATTTCTCTTAATCTACATGAGTATAGCTAGAGAAACAAGGGATTGTAAAAATATTGTTATTGTAAAATTGACAGCAAAAAAATATGATTTTTTCAAAATTCTACAGTGGTGTAACCACTTAAGTGAAATCATTTGTTTTCTAGATTTTTTAGAGCGTGTTTTCTTTTTGTGAAAAGACAATGTGCCTATGTGGAGGATTTTTGCTTGGGGTTATCCTTGAAGTGCCAGCTAGTCACCAGGCTAATACGACCAAAAAGTTGATATTGGATCATTTTTCTTCTGGGGAGGGCACCAGGTTTTCTATTGAGACAGCCGTATCCACCCCTGCCTCCCCTCTAACTATGTGTGCCTGTTAATAAGGGGCAATAAACATTCAAATGACCCGTCAGTCCCATAACAATAAATTAATGGACATGGTTAACCATGGAAATGCTGATGAAAACTACTAGTTAACTGCATATCTTTATGTACAGCAATCTCCAAATTGGTATGCACGGACACTTATAAATAAAGGCATTGATGAAGTCAGCAGTTCCAAAAAGTTTTCATCATATAAGTGTAGTAAGTCATTGGGCAGTAAGTGACTGCTAGACCTTCTTTTATGGACTTTCTTGGACAGCAACAGACCCCCCCATGCCACATCACAGGAGTTCAGTTGTGTACACATTTGCAACATGCTGTATCACGACACATTCAGATTTTGTTTGATATTAAAGGAAAATAGTATCAGTAACTTTGTCTATAAAATGGAGTTTGCAGTAAAAAATAAGTTTTTCTTAAAAATAATGCATTTTGTGGACATGAAACAAGTGAAAATTTTTTGCAGTAAAATAGCTGCAATCTTAAATCATCTTTTTTATTTTAGTTATTGGCATATCATTTATTTTCAAAAAAATTTGCTGTGATGATGTTTGCATACCACTAGTATTCTCCAATCAACTGAAATGATACCTGGTGATAATGATGGTCAGGGTCATGTAAAATTAGAAAACAATTTGCTATAGATTTCCGAAATATGACTAAAACGAATTTTAATTTTTTTAATTCAACATTCTGCTGTATCTTGGAATTGAAGCATTTATCAACAAATTTTTATTTGAACCACAGCCATTCATTTCATTATAGAATCTAGTTGTGAAATATGATCCAAACTTTAGCAGACACCCTGTATAGTAGTACAATACAGTTTTGTTAAAATATTAAATACATATATAGATACAGGGTGATACAAGCCTGTAGCTTCTTTGTTTTTTGATCGATTTCAAAAATTTTTTTTAGAATGTACATAGGACAAAAAAACTATCTAACTGTAATGCTGCTGTTTTTATTAATGCTAATTGGTATTAGCGATTTTTTTCCAAGAAACATTACGTATTCTCATTCAGCATCCCTTAAAATATCTTATCACCAAGTTTCATCAAATTCGATACATCTTCAGACGAGCACTAGTTGGATGTGTATTGCATTAATAAAAAACTGCAATATCATAGTCAGATTTTTTTTACCCTACATTTCATAAAAAAAATTTTAAATCGGTCAAAAAATAAAGGAGTTGCAGGCTTGTTTACATTTCGCGACATCATGGAGTGCTCGCCTAAAGATGTATCGATTTTGATGAAACTTGGTGGTAAGACATTTTAAAGGATGCTGAATGAGAATACGTAATCTGTTTTTGGGAAAAAAAATCACGTCCTAGTTGGCCGTGAATTGCATTAATAAAAACAGCAGTATCGATCACAGTTAGAGATTTTTTTTACCCTACATTCTCAAATAAAAATTTTTGAAATCGGCCAAAAAATAAAGAAGTTACTGGCTTGTATACCGCATATTTAAGCACGACACCCTGTATATGTTTTGAAAATGATATTTGAATTTCAATATTTTTGTTAATTTAAATACATAGGTCATTTTTGGGTCATTTATTTAATTATTAAAAAAATTAGGTGGTCACCACCATGTCATAGCTATAAACAGATATAAATCAAATGCGAGGATGTCAAATTCGTTTTCTAACAGTCCCTGGAACAAACTGGTAATGGTCACGAAAAAAATACTGAAAAAATTATGTACCTACAAGCCACCCAGGTGGTGAAGAAAAAGATAAAGAATTTTTTCTGTAATGAAAATTTATTATCTTATCTATAACATAGTGCTTACTATCACAATTTTAGGAGAATTAGAGAGTAGATTAAAATATCAGAACAAATTTGAAGTTTTATTATATTCATCTAAAAGACTAGAATATTTCGCATGCACTTCCCTAAGTAGAATAAAAATATATGTCAGTACTAACAAATAAATCTTGCACGTTTTACAATTATCATTCTACTTAGGTAAGTACATATGATCGAGTTTAATAATTATTTTGTATATTAAGGTTTGTATGACAATCTACCTAACCATTTTAAGAAAAACTGTATCAGAAGTGTAGTCAACTTCTACTAAAGCCTTATTTGGCAAAAATTAAACAAACATCAAACTGACATGCAAATTAAACAAACATATAAGTGATTACTGATAAAATATATCACTGATAAACAATTATTCATTTGTAGATATTAAAAGATTCTGTTTTATGTTTTCAGTTATTTGGTTCCCTCTTCTTTTTTATTTGTACATATATTTTGTAATTAATAAATTAAAATTCACGTTTATTTACAAATAAAAATCACTACCTTTACAGAGTAAAGCAAAGTAATAGGTAGCATTTATCACAATTTTTATAATTTATATGGATATGGTACATGATTTTTATCCTTTGAATACAATAACTTCAATGACTGTATTAAAAAATAATAAATTAAGATAGGCATGTGAAAGTATGTACATTTAAATTATTGTCCCTTCATCTTATCTTTCATTAGACTTTCTTTGAATTTTTATACAGAGTGATTCCTAAGTTGAATCATATCTTTAACGTGTGACTACTTAAGGAGATTTTTTTTCAGATTGTATTTTTTAAATAATCAAAAATAAAGCAGTTACAACTTTCCATAGTAATACAGGGTGGTCCGAATTTTATGCAGGAAACTTCGAGGGCAGCTAGATCTCTTTAAAATAATATGTGTTTGCCTTGTAAACATAGGTCTGGAATGGCCCCATTTTAGAGATACAGGGTGTTGTAATATTATAGTTAGAAGTGTCTGCCACAAGGGGATTGTATTGGTATGAATAACTTGAGAACGGCTAATCTTAGGGAAAAAATTAAAGTCACCTTTTTTACGTATTTTGTGCATTAAAATATAAGTCAGTTACAATGACATGTAAAAAATGCAGTGGCGTAGGTTTTTTTTGTAAAAAGGGGGTGACCCCTGTCCAGTTGTACGCCACTGGTTGAACCTTTAAAGCTCATATTTCAGGGAATATAAGGCCTACTATCATACATTATATGTACCAAATTTTATTGAGATCGGTTAATAGATTCCGGAGATATAAACAAAAAATCAATTTTTTTTGACAACTTCAACACCCTGTATCTCTAAAACGGTGCCGTTCCAGAGCTATGTTTATAAGGCAAACACATATTATTTTAAAGAGATCTATCTGCCTTCGAAGTTTCCTGCATAAAATTCGGACCACCCTGTATAAGCAAGTAAATCGATCATTTGCATGTTCAAAACAAACTATACAGAAGCCTAATGTTTATCTCTTTTTTGAGAATGTTTTTACTTTCTTTTCTTGGTCTTGTGTCAGTTCTGTCGTGGATTTTAACCAGAGTAAAGGAAAACATGCAACGGGAGGAACAAATTTTCATTCTTGTTGACGAAAATCCAACAAATACTTACTCGGTAAGTTGAACTGAACCAAAAAAAAAAAGCAATGAGTTTAAACCTTACAGCTACAAGACCACCCCAACAGAGTACAGCTTTGAGGGTGGTTCTTACAGCAATATAGGATGAATCAAAATTTAAATATTAACAATTTGGTTATGAATGAGGATAGATTTACCTGAAATGGAATTAATTATACTTATATTACATTCCCTAGTAAGTAGGAGATCGTGGAAGACATGGCCAGCCATGTCACCAGATCCTAACCCTTTAATTTCTTTATGGAATTTAATGATAAACTTATTGCCTGCTCCAATTAGGTAAAAACCTTTACACACGTGCATAGTCTTTTTTATGTCGCGTCCAACATTATATGAATTAAGTTGACGGCCATCTTGAACATTTTTCTTACATTCAAGGCAGATAAATGTTGTTTTCGAAAATATAAAGGTCAGTTTTTAATTTGTAGGTTTTTTGAAAAATTGTATTTGAAAGAATTTTTATTTTAATGAATTTTACATAAAAATATGACTCAACTTGGGAATCATTAAATTTATCTGTGATGTTTTTAACATAAATTTGAAATTGTAATTATTTTGTTTCTTAAAATTAGAAAGGATATTTTGGTTTTGCATTAAAAGTTTAATTTTTCTGCTTTGTTATCATAAATTAAAATATTCCTAGACATTTGTACTGAACTGAAGGAATATTAATTTGTGTCAGTAGGTATCTGCTATTGGCTTTTTTGCCTCAAGATCGTTCCATCAAAACAACTAAAAGTTGAAATGGAAAACTTTGATTAACGATATAGTGCGGTCTATAAAATCTTCTAAAATACTGCTCTAAAAATTGGAATATTGTTAGCCAAGTTGCAAAAACTACTGTTACGTTTTGTAAGTATATGTAGGTATGGTACACACGTGGAAGAAATCTTTTTCAATTGTGCTCTCTATAACGGAAGCATGGACGCTTGAAAGTACATTACATGACTACATTTAGGTTTTTGGTAAATTGCACAAATCATCATTTGTTTTATAAATATATACACAATAGGTATGTTTTCAACAAATTAATAAATAACAGTACCAATCACCTCATCAATTGATATCTACATGGCCGTATGATTTTATTGCACTTGTACCTAATTAAATTTAATTTTGCTACGTCTATCAAAGGGCTGCACTGCAGTCTACTCGAGACATCCAATTCAGGTCTCTCATGGTAGCTGTATGCATGAAATAGACGGCAGCGACAACCATAATATGCATAATATTATGCGAATTCAGGTACATGTCTACGCATCCAGGAAACCACTTCTCTGGAATGTGCAGGGCTCCTATGGCCCCTCCGGCTATAGAAACTACATCCTGAAATAAATAAAAATACACAGTTTAATTAGTTGATGAGCGTCCGCATTTATTTATTTTTATTAGTTTTTACTGTTTTGAATAGTTTTTGTTATTTATATTTGCCTTGGTTCCTTCCTTCTGCAAAATTTTATTGTAGTAATTCATTATAGTCGGCATTTACTTTTGCCTTCCCTCTGGCACTATACAGGGTGTTTTTAAATGAAGTAGCAAAAATGGTACCAGTGAATGTAGAGCCAAAAATAAGAGGATTGAAGTAAAAATACCTTATATGAAAGTTGCACCTCTGAGGCTATATACCCTCTTAAAGGAGGGGATTGAAATTCACATTTTAATTTTTTTCTTTAACATGAGGAATGCTAGAGACACGAAACTTGGTATGAGCATCCTACAAATAAAGAGACAACTTTTCAATATTTATTCGATCATTGGCGTATTTTATAAAGGAGTGAAACAGTCCCCCATTGCAATGTTTTATTAGAAATTTTTTATATGGAGCAAATTATTTATTTAAAAATATTTATTGAGAACACTGATTTATTGCGCAACTTTTTTACCTCTTGTAATTTTTCGATAAAACCGATAATTTTCTAGTAAAACAATTACATGCATCATCGTTCACTAAAGGGATAATTGCAAAAATTTGTAAAAATAAAGTAGGCGGATGTCATAACAAATAAATTGTTATTTATCATATTAATAAATTGACACTTTCTGTTAACCAATAATTAGTACCAATTGATAAATTTATTATCAGAATAATTATGGCAAATAATATTTATACCAATGACGAATATGTCGACATGCTCGAAGTGTTTTTCGAATCCAGAAAAAATAGTAACGCTGCAGTAAGATTATACCACGAAAGATATCCAAACCGACCGATTCCTCATAGACAAACATTGGCCTCGGTAGAAAGAAGGCTTCCCGAAACTGGTAAAATTCAGCACAATCGTGAGGGTGGCGAAAGAAAGCGTAATGTGCGAACTGTTGAAACTGAGGAAGCTATACTGGAACATCTAGAACAAGACTGTGGTACAAGCACAAGACAGGTGTCCAAGCAACTGCAAGTTTCTCACAGTCTTGTGTGGAATGTAGCTCATGAAATCTTTTATACCCTTTTCACCATCAACCCGTGCAAGAATTGAATGACCCTGATTTACCTAACCGCGTGGATTTTTGTCGATGGTACATTAATATTTCCAGGCATGACTTATATTTTCTAATGAATTTTCACCGATGAAGTAAATTTTCCTAGAGTAGGTCTAGTAAACCTTCATAATGTTCATTCATGGTCGGAAGAAGATACTCGTGTAATATTTGTTTCAAGATGTCAACATAATTTCAGTTTAAAGGTTTGGATGGGAATTGTAGGAAATACTCTAGTAGGTCCTTTTATTCTTCCGCACAGGCTTGGAGCGGCCGAGTATCTTAGATTTTTGAACGAAAATCTTCCAGCATTACTTGAGAATGTACCCCTCGCTGTATGTCAGGTGATGTGGTATATGCACGATGGGGCGCCTGCACATAGTACACTTGCCGTTAGAGAATGGTTAAATTTAAATTACCCGAATAGCTGGACTGGTCGTGGTCGTGATGCCCCTGTTTGTTGGCCTGCACATTCACCTGACTCAAAGCCTATGGATTTCTTTTTGTGGGGACACATAAAAAGTATTGTTTATGCAACTCCTGTTGCCTCCTTAGAAGAACTACGCTTAAAAATATTTCAGGCAGCAGATGACCTTCGCAATAACCAAGAACTGTTTGTGCGAGTGCGTTATAAGTTCAACAGACGTATTAGGTTATGCTTGCAGCAAAATGGAAATTATTTCGAGAATATTCTTTAAATTTAATTTTGCATTTCTTGTTTTTCGTTTGTATTACATTTTATTTCAGATAAATAACTTTACCTAATACATGTCCCATAGTCATAAGTTATCAAACATATTTCATACAAATACATTAAAATCCTTAGAAAAACTTCTAATTGGGTATATCCAAATCTTTCTAATACCTCTAAATAGACAAGTTGAAATTCCTGGAGTACTTCGCAATAGATGGAAAATCCTAACAATACTTCAAAGTACATCGCATAGTTTGAAATACTTTTAAAACCACTAAATACTTCTGAAACTTTTGAAAACTACAAAATATTTTGAATTATTTTGAATACATGGAACAATATATTAAAAAAAAGCTCTTATTAGATCGAAATATCTAAACTTCTTTCGAAAACCTCCAAATACTTGAAAATACCTCGAAAACATAGAAATACCTACTTCAAAAACTTCTAAACACTTCTGATTTTTGAAGTTTGTCTACGGTCATTGACCTTTGTCCTCTGGTCATTGACCGTTGATCATTGATCAATGATCAATGATCATTGACTCTTGGTTTGGCTCTTAGAAATAAATAACTGTTATGCATACTTTTTGTTGTATCCTAAAGCCGTCTTAATTCATTTTAAACAATTTCGATTTAGCTTGACGTATACTTTTTATTTTTTCTAGAACCAATGATTAAATTGTAAAAAATTGTGCAACTATTTTGATTCTGATTTTGATTTTTTTCATTTTGTATATTTTCAATGAAACTGTGATGTATTTCCGGCATTTCAAGATATTTTTCATAGATTTTGAGGTACTCGTATTTCGATTCAAATTTTCTTTTCTTACCTGTAATATGACGTGAGTAAACGCAGCTGGATCACCTCCACCAAATGAAGTGACCCTCAAACACCAAAGTAAAATACGCATTATAAAAGGTAAAAGGAAGCACAATCTTCTCTCCCAAGGAGACCAGGCTGTTAGTGCCTAAAACCACATCAAAAACATATTGAAAATTTTTAATATTTCGACTTAGCTTACCTTATATAAACCCCAAATACTCAAAAGGCAATACGACGTTATTAAAAACGATCTAATAGTATGTGGAAGGCAATATGATGTAGCAAATATCATTGGCATTGCACCTAAAACAAATTTTCGCCTGTTAAACATATTTATTATTGTCTAATGAAATAATTTATGGTCATATTGTTTAAGCTTATAGTTATTTCTACACAAATGCAAACTTAGAAAACATATCCGTACTTTATTATAAAGACAAAAATTTAATAAGGGGAAACATTTTCTCAGGCGTATCAGAAGTGGGATTTGCGACATTTAAAATTCCATTTTGGCATTCGGCATTAGACCTGTAATACTAAAATTCTTACCAAAACTCTGGCTAACCCAAATGCCAAGCATGTCCACTTGAAGGAGAATATAATAGGCTTTAGGTCCTTGATGCAAGTTCATGAATAAATGGTATATAAAGCTCCCTATCCATGGACACAGAATGCCAGCGATGTGACACCACGCAAGGAAGCGGAGATCCGCCTGAGACCACGGAAGTATTTGAGGCACAGTCAGTAGAATATAAAGTATGGGAAACGCTGAAAAAATACAGGCTTTTTAATTTACAGCGAGAATGTTCCTCAGTTCGGTCAAATTGAAAAAATATTTATCTTGTTGAAATTTAATTGAATTTGCGCCTGTGTTTGAAAATGTGTATGAGTTTTTGTGTTTGTTTGTGGTTGACACCTGCGTAATAATAAATAAATGCCATGTAACACCTCTAGCTATGAAAGCAGATAAATAAACAAAATATAGATCTTTTCAGAGACAATCTAATGCGTAGAATTTTCATTCAAGAAACTAAAAAACATATCAAAGAAACTATTTTGATCTGAAGAATTCTCCCAAAAAAAGTAATTTTCACATTAGTATTCCTTATTCCTTCATTCATTTCTCTAAAATTTTTATAAAGAAAAATTCGATAAACGACAAATCAAACATTTGACATTGCATGGTAATTCTGACGAATGAAACAATTATAAATTAAACAAGGTTGTGGTCATTAGTGCAACAATTATACAAACGATCAAAGTGATTGATGGCAAAGTAGTAAATAAATTAAGTATGTCAATAAAGGAATAGCTACGGAATACTAATTTAATGGGTTAAAATGTATAGTCTCATTCTTGATTTAAACTATGTATATTTTCATTTCTGTAGGGAAGTCTTCAATAACAGCCAAAATGGAGTTTTGGCTAGAAATAAATACAGAAATACAGAATAAACTAATAAATATCTATTCTGCAATATAATTGCAGAGTAAACTTGCTACTTTTCAAAAGACATAATAACATGTTCTCAAATTCTGCTTTATTTATGATAGTTTTCATCAAAATTAATTATTAAGGAGGTATATCGGGATCCGAGGGAAGTGAGGAGCGCAGGGTGAGTCCTATGATTTTCTTATGGGACTAAAGCCCGCTGACAATTTCAAAAAATTAAATACTTTTGAAATTATTTGCGATAAACATTATCTATATAGCAAATAAATCTACTCATATGCACAGAGCATACATATTGACTAATTAACAACATAAAAATATAATATTTAAGTAGTTTTAAATTATATTTAATGAACGCATAAAGACTATGTAGATGTGGTAACAGCGCTAATAATTGACTAGCAGTCATCATCGGAGATATTGCGCGTCAAATTCGGGTAAAGATGCGTACGCGTTCAAAAATGTATTGTGTGTAAACTATGTACAATATAATTATTATATATAGCAAATATATCGTATTATCCTCGCGAAGATTTGTATCATTTATTTAAAATCCTTAAATCATGTGAACTGGTAAAACAACGAGAAAATAATTATGTTAATTTAGTTCTAAAGAAATGAAGTGACACTCGCGCTCATCTCTCGTCCAAGTCAAAGAAAATGTTGGATGCAATTTTGAAGGTTCTGTGATAGAAATTACATTATTACTCACTGTTAGTGTTTTTCATCTCTATTTTAGTAATGTTACAAAAGTTTTGCAACTATAACTAATTTTTTAGATATAAAGTCTGCTGAGAAATATTAATTATATTAATCAAGTAAAGAAAACTTTATGTAACCCTAAATATTGCGGGGTAATGATTACGATGTTTTTATAAACCATTAAAATCTGTTGTGGATAATTTATTGTTGATAACAATGTACATGGGATTTAGGAAAAATGTATATGTTTGAAATCAATTTCGTTTTTATCAAGTCTTTCAAATGTATTCTCTCCTCGCTGTCAGCTGATTGCGACGTTGCCACATTAATCCTCAAGTCAGCCAAAAGTGCAATTATTGGTTTCTGTTTCTAATTAATACAGCTGTACTATGTTCAAAACTTACATTAGTTTTACATCAAAAATAAGACAATACTGTGTGCTATCTATGGAAAAGTTTTGTTTCACAATTTCTACATTTTTTTCTCAATTATGGGCAAAAAAAGAGCCGCACCGTCCATCTTCGCCATATAAACCTATGTTAAAATGAACGACTTTCAACAATATCTCAAAATCTAGATTCAAAAAAAAATTCAAAAAAATATGACGCACAGAGGGAGCACTGGGTAATACGCTATATAAATTTCAAGTACATCTGTGCATTTGAGTAAACCCGATATACCTCCTTAAATGTACATAATATTTTTCTTATGTAACTGTTTATTGATTTATATTTCATTATTTCTTGATAGCGTAGTGGTTTGCGATATCGGTCTTTAAATCGTTGTTGCTGAGATAGCAGGTTTGAGTCCCGTGGCCGGACCGCCTAGATCATATGTATCTCAAAGAACCTTCCGCGTATAAGGCAGAATGGAAGATCGCTGGTTGGGTAAATGTGAAAGATTGATACCAGTCACTGTTTGAATGGTAGGTAATTAAGATTTACCAATGTAAGTCACAAACGACCTGCAGAATAATAATATGTTGCCTTTTGTCTCATGATTAACTTCTTGGTTATCCCTTGCAATTTGAATGAAGGGTAAATAAGTATATTATTATTCAAATCATGTAAAGTATTAATACAAAATTTACACTAACTTAAGTTTAAGTTCTATTACATTCAAAACTTTCCTCATTTCTATTCAGTTTTGTATTGTAAATCTTCCTTCTGAACAGTATTTGATAATATGTTGTGCTGTACAATGTTTCTCTTTTAATTTTGCAATTCTTACAAAATCGCAAGAAATATGTAGTATGTACAGTTTGTATTATTTTCAATGTGATTTGACTGACAGAAATGCCAGTGGACAAATTATACCCAAGTACTTTTAGTTATTGTTACTTAAGTGCGTTCTAAAAGTTCAAAAAATATACGTTCGTATTCGTGTCACTCAAACTTAACGCCACCTATAATTAAAAATATTAAATTTAGACTGGGTTTTGCAAGTCCATTCCTCAATGACATGACACACAAATATTTCACGGATGTCCATGTCATACGTGTATTTTGACCAGAAACATAATATGTTTTGAAAAGTACTACTTCACTCTCCAGGTTACATTTTTCTTGCCAAAAACCAACCGTGAAACCTAAACAATAGACAGAACTCTGGATTAAGTAGGTTTTTTTATTAGAAACGAGTTGATATATTGTATTCGTGAAGCTGAGCTCTTTGAATATATATGTTGTTTATGGCGAAAATACTAGAAAACGGTACCTGAAATTCCACATTTGGCGGATATCTGCTTAGGCAAAGCCTTGGAAATGTGCTGATGTGTTGATGTTGATGAGTTGATGTGTTGATATTGGAATGCGCTCGTTGTAAATTTTTGTATTCAAAGACTGAGTCAATCCTTCAACACCTCAGTTTCCGGTAAATACAAAAAAAACACCCACAAAACTTAACAAACCAGATCATGAATTTACAGCCCGGAGACAGTGAGGCCCATAAACCCTACACAGCATACAAGTAAGTGACAGACAATAGGTTACAAAAGTTGATTAGATATTTGAAGCCTATGTAGGATGTAGGTAATGTTTTGGCTATTCTTTGTGATTCAGGTGCGGTTCTTCTATATTATGGCGAAGGCGCCAATGTGAAAGCCAGTATTATACATATCACATACTTAATATAGGTATACTAATATTTTAAATAAATTGTCTTAATGCGTCTTTTATTTCAAGTGTAAGGGTAAAGTAAATCACATAATCCTGTTGACGTTTTCCTGATTCCTATAATTAAAACATAAAACACACCACAGAAATGAGACAACCCCCAAATCCAAAAGCCAAAGGCTTGTGCGGAAGGAGGCTACACTTGAAAAAACGCGGACAAACACCCATTATCCATCGACATTGCCAGTGCCGACACCGGGGATCGAACCCGGACCAGTGTAGGAAGCCTAGCCGAGAAATGCTTACCACCGCACTCTCGACCGACTGCGCTACCGTGGCGATTATTTAATAATTTATAATGCAAAAGGAGTACAGTTTAATCGATATTTAACAAATTATTTCAAAGGTAGGAAGGTACGTAGAAACAAAAAAAAAACATAAAAAATGTAGTGAAAAAACTGCACTCGTTAATAAGTAATATTTCATGATTTCTGACCAATAATGCTAGTATATACAGAAATTTACAGACATTGACTCTCTGATAGCTTAAAATCGCAATGGAACTAAATTGGCCTCACTTGTGTTTACTTTTGTTTTATTATAGTATAGGTCAAAAGATGATGTGAATATAAATTTGTATGTCCAATACAAAATAGAGAAACATTAATGTGTGATATTTTCGAATACGAAATTTTAATATAATAAATTCTAAGCATAGTTAATATACCCAATGTTTAGAAGTTTCAGCTCTTAGCGTTAATACTAACAAGTCTTAAATATTTAGGTAAATTTCACATTTTAGCGAATAGTCCATTTTAGAGGACTTTTGTTTGTTACTTTCAACAACTGTAATTAAATCTGGAAAATTAAATTCAGCTGTATAGAATTATATACACTTGGAATATGTTCCCTTGGTATTTATATTTTTTATAGTTGTAAAAGGTTAATGGTTTTCTACATTTCATGGTTAATTTAATTATTTTGTAAGTTATACCGTCAACAAAACACCGTTTTATGCCCCTATAGAGCTTTTAATTAAACGTACATAGAAAGAGTCTAGTTAGTGTAAAATATCGACTTCATTACCAACTGTTACTATTTTTAATCACCAGAAGGAGTTGGAAAACTGGGACAACGCTAGTAAGGCAAAGGTTACCAGGATCTCGTTACGTTTATAGCGATACTAGTCCTTTGGAAAAAAAGATTTTTTTGTTATTGCATGATCTCTTTGAACTGTTTCAATGAACGGTTGAAATATTATTCTTTTGAAAACAAAGATTTTTGCGTCATTGTGCAACGTCTTTGAACTCCTTTAATGGACGGACGTTTGAAATTTGTAACAGAAATCGATTATGTAGGTCACAAGCTTTATTTAACTTGTTTTATATTTTATGAAAATTATGATACACATTGAATTTTGTTGTATACAGTTAATTTAAATATTTACTAATTTCTTTATTAATAGAATCAGATTACTAGCCCAATTTGTATACATTTTCA